GGCTCGTCCCCGCTTGCGAAAATCACAGTCCAGATATTGCTCTACCTAGCCATCGCCACCCCGGGACGAGGTTCCAACGAGGTCAAGATGACTCCTTCTGGTCACTCTTCCGCGCAGAGGATTCTTTCTGGCTCTGCCATCATCTCATCGCTGATCCATGGAGCTGCCTTATGCTACGTCCTCTTCAATCCTGATATGACCCTATGGGACTTACACATCCCATCTCTTGATGAGGTGCGAGGCGTGCAGGGCTATTCAAGTACTTGCTTGACATTCATGAAATTTGATTATGTCTTGTCTGCAGCGGCTATCCTCGTCATTGCATATCATGTGCTTGCAGTGCAGTTCCCCTATCATGGCTTGGTGCTAGTAGTCGGAGTCTGCCTTGCGGGTGCAGTTTTTGGAGCTGGTGGGACTTTGCTGTTCGTATGGAGTTGGAGAGAAAGCTGGGTGTCGACCCGAGGGAAGGCATCTCGCTCGTAGTCACTGTCTAGACATAAGGACTCTTGTTCGCGAAGGCAGCACAGAGCTTTGGATCCAGATCCTGTAGAAAGTTCCAGCTTCAAGAGAGCTGCTGATGTGGAAGCCTTACAGTGTAGACTGAATTATAGAATGGAGACCAGACGAAAACTGTGTCACTTCTCCACTTCCTCGGCTTATGTGCTTGAACAAAATTGCCCGATTGGGAAGGTGATAGAACTAAGCATTGCCAAGCGCTTACATGCGGCGGCCTTGGGCCATGTTACCATACATTTTCGCTGATGAATGCACTTGTTCGTACGTGAGGAGAAAGTCTCTGAGAGTTGAGAAGCGTAGGTCTATATAGCGCAATGTTGAATTGGGCTTGCTATCCGAGCTTGGCTCTTGTGTCTCGAGTCTCGAAACAGTGAGCAACAGAGTTGAATCTAAGCATCTGCCAATCCTCAGATAGTCAAGGGAAGATCCTCCACTGTGATTACCTTAGTTCCACCCATTAGAAACAGGAAATCCAGGGCAATACATACATCACTCTTGCTTCTCATCCTCGCAATTCGGATAGCATTGCTGATTGTAATAGAATTCTGCTGCCCTTTTCTCGATTTCCGCAAGTGCTCGCTTGTTCTCCTTCTCATCCTCGCAATTTGGATAGCATTGCTGATTGTAATAAAATTCTGCCTCCCTTTTCACGATTTCCGCCACTGCTCGTTCGTCCCTCTCCATCATTTCCTCAATTGCTCGCTTGTTCTCCTTCTCATCCTCGCAGTTTGGATAGCATTGCTGATTGTAGTAGAACTCTGCCATCCTTTTGTCGAGCGGCGCTAAATACATTTGAGTATGTAATCGACAACCTCAATAACATTGATGTACATACCTCGTGGGATTACGGCCATCGCTGCGACATTGCTCGCTAAAAGAGCAACAGAGGCGAAGATGAATGACTTCATGTTGATGTTGGAGGAGATAGTGAAGATTCGCAGACGTTATCGTGTGTGTTCGTTGGATGAGAGCGTCGAGTGGCCGCACTTTGTTCATTTATGTTCACTGGAGATTCATCCAAGTCCATCTGCCGATGCAATCATCTACCAAGGTTCTTTGTCGGTGATTCAGATTGTTCGACGATATCCATGAACGGATCGGTTGCTTCTGGGTAATATCGAGTCTTCGACACTATTGATGAACGCATCAGGCTATCTAGAATCACGAGGACGGAGCTGCTAGGTGCTGGAAAACTCTCTGCTCCGTCAATTGCCTCCGTCGTTTGCCTCTGTCCTGTGTCTCTATCGTTGCGAACGTATCCATGAACGAATGAAGACAACCTAGAAACAGTGAGGCGGAGTTACTAGGCGCTAGAACTAGAAAGTTCTCTGCTCCGTTAATTGCCTCCGTCGTTTGCATCGGTCCTGTTTCCGCCATTTCCCTCCGTCATTTGCCTCTACACCGTATTATATCAACCTGTTACATCCATGTCTAGGGGCTTGCTTGAGCGGCTATAATGTGTCTTGAAAGGCTAGGGCGGCGATTGGCCGAAAGCGGGGAAGCATGTGTGTGCGACACCTCACAGCTCACAAGACCACTGTTGTAGGGATAGACTTTGTCCGTAGACTAAAGTGCTGGTCCATGTCGCATATCGATGACATCTTTCAATTGCCTTCGCTGATCGTCTACTGCGCACTGCTTCGATGGCGGCACCCTCCTGCCCACAGGTCTTCACTTCCAACACTCTTTGATTCTGCGACGACCTGACATTATGCCGCTCTTCTGGACAGCGAGGCACTCTTACTCTGAGCTAGCTAGTGCCAGCGACGATCTTGAAGCTGAGGAGAAAATCACAGCATCACTTCACAGTGCCCGGCGATACAACAGTGCCGCGCGATACTTCTGCTATGCTGTAGCATTGGCCGTGGCTGGTATTACTTCGTGCATCATTGATCGAACACTGCTGAGGAGTCACACCTGTGATTACTCGCCTCAATTCAGCGATGCACGCTCCCGTGAGTCCTTTCCCAACTTTAAAGATCAATCAGCTCGGCAGCTCACCGTACAAAGCATCTCCATTTCTGGCGCTCATCGACCGGAGTTGGCACACCGAGACTTTCAGCGAGTTGAACTTCAACAAACCGTACGACTCAGAATACACACGTCCGGCTACGCTTGGAGATGACGTCGCAGAAGAAGTCGATCGATACTGGGCTGATCTCGGCGCCTATGGTTCGTTTGCTTTGTCTGATGCCACAAGTCAGCTTCTTCTAACCTGGAAATGTAGAAGCCGAACGCCTACTTCCAGAGGAGTATGGAAAATTCCACGACATTGGGCCACAGCACAACCACAGCTTGACATCACCAGCCAACAGTCCATACACCCCATACACCGGATACCCCGTGGAGATCCAAGTGGCTCATATGCTGCATTGCCTGAATCTCGTTCGGCAAGGGCAGTGGTACAACTTCGACTATTACCGCAAGCACAGTCCTTCGTTCGGGGAGAACCAATGGAAGGTCACTCATGGACAGAGCATCATCGAAGCACATTCGGCGCATTGCATCGAGCAACTGCGCCAGTATCTCATGTGTGACGTGGACATTCGGCTGGTGCCTTTCGGAGACCTAGATGACAACGAAATTGGACCACAGCCGATCTTCGCACAGAAGAAGCAGTGCAGGAACTTTGATTCATTTTGGAGGTGGTTCATGATGACAAAGTGGGATCAGAACCCAAAGAATCATGGCGTCCGAGGACATGTGCCTCCTGTGATTAGCTTCAGTGGATTGAAGGGAACTTTTCATGAATAGTAGAAGAAGATGTAACGAACCTCTATAATCTGTCTGCTTTGTTGTCCAAAGAGCACGGAGGCGTTGGAGATGCATGCGTTCACCCTGTCTTTCAGCAAATGCGCGACTCGTTGTTCCAAATCACTTCGCATGGCGGCTGCTCGATTCCAGTCGCCTGAATGCTGGGTGCCATGCGAGGACCAAAGTTCGATCAGACCCGTATCTCTAGCGCTTTTCCAAAACAATATGCCTCCCAGGTTATATATAATTTGCAACCAATTGCGCTTTGGCTGACGCAGTTTGTAGGCTGTCGCAGCTCACCCACTTATCTTCACTGTTCTATCCCTATCCCGCCATTAACACCTTACTGCTAGTAAATCCGTGTCAAGAAACCTTGTGCCACCTTTCTCGATACTTATGCCTCCCACTGTAGCCAGTTGCACTCCATGAGCTTCTCGCCTGGACCTTGCACGTCACTGAACGTTGGGCCATGAACTGGAAGTCCAATGCAGGTCGTCGCGTCGCTGGCAGGTCGTCGTGTCGCTGGCAGGTCGTCGTGTCGCTGACAGGTCGTCGTGTCGCTGGAAGGTCGTCGTGTCGCTCGCTGGCAGGTCGTTGCGTCGCTCGCTGGCTTGTCGTTGCTGTTGGTATCGCTAGCTAGTTGTCGCGCTATCTCCGCTCAGACTAGTAACAAAGGGTATTCGTGCATATGATATAGAATCACGTGTTCCGTAGCAGACTTTTCTAAACCCGTAAGTAAACTTTCCAACCCCTCTACTAATTAAATAAACTCCCGTATAGACTATATAATACCCTTTATTACTAGTCTAATCCGTTTCTATCGGGTTTTAGTACGCGTATATAGATAATCGTAGTAGTAAGTAGATACTATTAGCTATAATACTATTATATATCGAAAATCGCAAAATCCGCTATAGTTAAGCCCTACGTAGTTATAGAAACTATCTATCCCTAAAATCTAAAGAACTTAGATCTACTACTTACTAGGGAAAATCTATATATATCCGAAAATCGAATATCGCTTACTATATTAAAGCTAGATACGTCTATCCTACTACGACCGTAGAGCGATAAACTAACTCTATAATAATCGAAATAATATCCGCGGTAGGTAAATATAATACCGCGAAGAAGCTTACGTAACTCTTATCTATCCCTAATACTATCCCGTTTAGCGCTCGTAGTCCTCCCGCCTAATATTATCGGCTAGGTATCGTAGCTCCGAGTTAGTAAGAGATGCGTTTAGAATACTATAATACTTAAGCCGGTTTTAACGCTATAAGTAGGATAGGCTCTATATGTTATAGATTAGAGAAGGGCCGCGACTAGAGGGCAATTTATAAGAGCGAAATCGGGAAAACTAGCTCGGAGAATCTAGAATAGTTTCTAGCTAGGCAAGCTCTAGAAGTCCGCTACGCTATAGAGTATTCCCGTAGAGCTTTCTATAAGGGTCGTATATACCGATCTATAGGAGATTATTCGATTTATAGTTAATCGAATCTATAACTATACTCTTAAATCTATTTGCGCGATAGTTTATACTATTAACTATACCGATTTAGTCGACCTCTAATTCGATATTATCGAAGCTAGAATAAGGTAGATATTAAATCGATTATATAAACTATCTAAATAGCGGCCTAAGAAAAAGCCGTATCGGATCTAGGTTACTATACTACGGGCCTTAATTTACTAGCGATAGGATATCCTATTTATTATAAAAACTAGTTTAGATAAGAGCCTAATCTTCTAGGCTTTTACTATACTTACTAGATAGACTACTATCTAGTTAGTGCCTTTTACTTAGCTCGGGGCGGAGTAAGAAGCGGACTTAAAGAAGATCGTAGGGGAATACGTTAATCCCGTACTAGTTACGAGTAAGGCTAAGCGGCGGGATCTAGATTTGTTTACTAAAATTAGGGCGGGCTAGTACGATTATATTATTCTAAGCCCGGAGTAGGCTATATCCGATAACTTTAAGGATACCCTAAAGGATCCGAATCTTTCTTTATATATCGGGCTAGTCGCATTCGATAAAATTTATCTCCTCTCGAAATAGGCTAGCTTCCGCGAGGAATTCCTTATAGCCGCGTAGCTTAGGTAGCTTCTCCGCTAGGACTATATATAGTTTAGCTATACTAGAACCCTAGATACTATAACCTAAGCCTATATATTAAATTATAGCGGGTTTAGACCGGTCGGCTACGAGCTATATTATTCTATAGTACTACGGACTAGTATCGATCGCGTTAACTATACGTATATCTTTAAAGAATTAGATAAAAATACGAAGTCGGTCTATAGCTAGTTGTATTTTATAATCGAAAAGGCCGTAAGCCCTATAGGCTCGCCTCTATCCGCTATAGGCTCGAATTTGTCTACTGCTACGCTAGCTAATATAGGCGAAGCCTAGTCCGCGGCGGAGCAATAGGCTACGCTAGCGGAGATACTAAAGACTATTATTTTTATCGATAGTCGCCTAGACGTAATCGCGCTTATAAATTACGTTCGAGCCTAGCTAGTACTTCGGACTAAGGACCTATATCGAGAAAACTAGTATTATTAGGGAAATAGGTCTAATCCTATACTAAACGTACTTAGAATTATCTAATTCTATATATCCGCTATACCTATATACGATTAGGACCTACGGTTTCGTAAGTTTAGCGTAGCGGATAGCACTATCCGTATTATAATTGCTGCTACCGCTCTTAGCGTAGGTATTAATATCTATATAGTATAAATCGTTATTTAGTAGGGTCTTATATTAGAGTATAACTACCTAAATCTACGCTAGCGTCTCGGGTATACTAGTCGGAATATAGTTATAAGGGTTAGAGGCTAAGTAGTAAGAATATATAATAGTATACGAAACTTTAAACTAAACTAGAGGGAGTACTAAATTAATATAGCTACTATCTATATAAGACGAACTACGAAGAAAGGAAGAAGGGTACCTTAGAGGGAGAGCCCCTTCCGTAGTATCCCGCCCTACGGGCATCTAGCGCGTCCGACGCGTAAGCGTAAGTATATATATCCTACTTACTAACTTCTTAGTAAACCTCTACTTTTAGGTCCTTCCCTACGCGCTAAGCGCGCGCGCGCACATCCTACTTATCCGCTATCTCGTAGTGCCTTTATCTCCTAGCTAACTTACGCGGCGCGCGTATACGAACTCGTTTAACTACTCTTAAGCAAACATATTTCTTCTAGCTCTTCCCTATCTTCCGGTTCCTTCCTACTGTTCGGATTAGTCCTACGACTCTATATATCTCGCTTGCTATCGTCCGTATACACGTACGCGTAGTTTAGTATAGTCCTATCGTTCGTATATTAATATATAACGTATTGTTCTACTATATACGGCCTCCGCGGGAGTCCCTAAGATATTACGTTATACGGCTAATTAGGCGGCTAACTAGGCGACCTGCTTCGCCGGGGGCCCCTACTACTAAGGCAACTTAAATCCGATATTACCTTATAGTATAGCGGCTAGCTTATAGGACTTGTTAGTGCTTTCTAGGCAGCTACTATAATAGTAGCCCCCCCCTCGTTTTGCGCGGAGTTCCTACGACGCTAAAGGAGGTCCGTATATAATAGGTACTAGTATTCTTGCCCTAGTTTAGGTCGGAGACCTTAATCTAAATTCTATTCGTATACTTCCTAGAGAAAATGTTCCGGAATAGTACCTTCTATCGTCGTATAGTTAGTATAATCTCGTAGGAATTCTTCGATTACTTCGTAGGCGAAGATAATATAGCGTAGGGGTTCCTAGGTTGTATCTTTATCTAGGTACCCTTCCTACTATACCTCTTCCTATAGACCGGGTAGGTTAAGGTTACCGAAGTTTGTATTACTAAAGCTCTATCCGATAATTGCCCGTACTATACCTAAGGCAGATTCTAGCTCGTCTTCGGTCTAATCGGTAGCCTCGGTAGCTTCCGGAATTAGCGGAATGTCTTCGGGGTCTACGATTTCTCCGGCGGTTCTTAGGTTAATAACGTATTTAACCGGGTAAATATTAAGATTCTCGGGGAGATCTAGTTCGTATACGTACGTACCGACTTTCTTTACAATTTAGAAGAGTCCTAGATTTTTCTAGTCGAGCTTTTTTAAAGGTCGGTTAGTTCTAATATACCGTAAGTCGAGGTAAACGTAATCTCCGACTTAGTAATCTAGCGCGGCGCGTCTGCGCTAATCCGCGTAGTGCTCGTATACTTCCTAGGTATACCTTATCTCGTTCTATAGCTCTTAGTAGGTCTAGGCTATTTAAAGAGCGAAAGTATCGGCGTCTCTCTCCGGATCGTTTACTAGGGGCTCTAGTTCGATTTCTACTAGTTCTATACCGGTTTAGGGGTAAAATCTAGTCGAAGCGTAGAAGGGCGTAGTCTAAGTCGTAGCTAATTCCTAATTGTTAATAGTAAATTTAATAGAAGGCGTTAATCTTAGCTAGTTATTTTAGTAGTAATTATAGAAGCACCTAATAATTTGCTCGATCTAAGCGTTAGCCCGTTTAGTTTACTCGTCGGTCTACGGATAGTAAGCCGTTAAAAGGCGCGCTTAAATTTTTAGTCGTTCGTAGAGGCGCTTCTAGAAACGGGCGACGAAATTCGGACCGCGATTAGATAAAATTAATTTAGGTAGGCCGGTATCTTTCTATACTTCTCGGTAGAAGACCTAAGCCGTATTCTTCGCGGTTAGGCTACGGGTATTTAATACCTTCTTACGTTTAGTTAGGCGGTAGACTACGACAAGTATATTTTAAAACTAAAGGCCGTTAAAGTCGGATCCTTTCGGTAGGCCTATAAGAAAATCTATTAAAATGTATTACTAGGGCTATAGAGGGATTTTAAGAGGTTTTAGTAGCCCTTACGGCTTACGCGTATCTGCTTTTACTCTACGGTATACTACGTAGCTTTTAACGAATCGGTCGATATCTCGGTATAGATTAGGCTAGTAGTACTACTTCCGGAGCTAAGATAATATCTTAGCTCGACCGAGATATACTATTCCGAGAGGGTTATAGGCGGAACGTATAATCTAATCGCGTAAATCTTCGAAGTCCGGGACGTAGAGAGCATTTCTAAACGTTATACGGGGCGCTTAGGGTAGAGTTCTATAGAGCTCGTACTCTAAAAGAGAAACATTTTCGTATAGCTATTCTCTGTTCCATAAAGCGTAAATTAGGCCTTTAGTATAAGCGTCTTCGGCGTACGCTATCGTAAGCTACTACTCGAGCTAGGTAGGTTCGAGGAGGTCCTATACTTCTTCTTCGCTTTCCTAGTTACTATCCGAGTTTTCCGAACTTATATCTTCCTCGTCCGAGCTATTATTATCTTTAAGGAAGGCGGGAGCGGCTATTAATACGAAGGATGCTACGAGAGGCTCTAGGCCGGTAAAGTCGTCTCTAAGGAGTTCGTATAGTTCCTAGCTTAGGTTATACTCTTTTAGAATAGACTATTCTTCGCGCTACGGGCCTCGATCTAAAGGCGAATCTCCGTTACGCCTTGTAAGTACGTCGGCCTATAAGTTCGCTTTACTAGGCGTATACTAAATAACGAAGTTAAACCGGGAAAGAAACTTACTCTAGCGTACTTGTCTATAGCTAAGGATTTTGCTCTTAAGAAAGTAGATAAGATTCTTATAGTCTAAGCTAACTTAGATCGGTAATTTAGAACCTTCGAGCTCTAGGCGCTATTCTTCGAAGGCCTTAACGATTGCGAGGAGTTCCTTATCGTAGATATCGTAATTATATTCTACGGAGGATATTTTCTTAGAGAGGTAGGCTACGGGCAGCTACGTATCCTCTGGGATCGTCCGCTAAAGAAGAACGGCGCTAGTCGTACTATCGGAAGTATCGGTTTCTAGACGCGTTTCTTTATTAAAGTCGAAGTACTATAGGATCGGTACGGTCGTAGAACTTTGCTATAACTAGTCGAAGGCTTCTTAATAGGCCGGAGACTATTTAAATTTAACGTCTTTCTACGTAAGTACTATAAGTAGACGGGCGATTCCGCTAAAATTCTATATAAATCTTTAGTAGAAGTTAGCGAAACCGAGGAAACCTTAGACTTCCTTTACGTTTCGTAGTACTCCCTAGTTTAGAACGGCTTCGATTTTGCCGGGATCTATTCGAATACCTTCTAAAGAGACAATAAGGCCGAGGAATTTTACCTCTTACTTATAGAATTCGCACTTATCGATATCGATATATAGTCCGGCCTTATCGAGTTTCTAAAGCACTTTTTCGATATATTCGTAGTATTCGGCTTTCGTTTTACTATAAATTAAGATATTATCTATATATACCGAGACGAAGGCGTCTAAGAATTCCTTAAGCGTATCGTTAATATATAATTAGAACGTACTAGGTCCGTTATAGAGTCCGAACGGTAAGACTAGGTATTCGAAAAGGCCGTAACGGGTTCGGAAGGCTATTAAATATTCGTCTCCCTCGGCAATATAGATCGCGTTAAAGGTAGCGATTATATCGAGCTTAGTAAACTAGCGGGCTTTCGAAAGACGCTCGAGCGTTTCGTTTACGAGAGGAATTAGGTAGCGGTTCTTTTTTATTAACGCGTTAAGGCCCCGGTAGTCTACGTAGAAGCGGAGACCTCCGCCGGGTTTCTAGGCAAATATTACTAGTACGGCCGCTTCGAAGGAACTTAGGCGGATAAAGCTCTTTTATAAGTTGTTTTCTAGGTATTTCTTTAGTACGAGGAGCTTATCTCGAGATATAGAGTAGAGAGGACCGTACGGCGGCGGCTTACTATCGATTAGCTCGATTTTATAGTCGATACCGGGCCGGTACGGTAGTAGAATATCGGCGTTCTTTTTCGAAAACTAGTAGAGTCGGTACTAATACTCCTTCGGTAGTTTCGTTCTTAGGTCTATCGGTTCTTCGTCGAACTTTTAGATAGCCTTCTCGATATCTTATATTATTATAGCGAAGATCTAAGTACGTTTGTCGTAGGTAAGACGCGAGAAGGTAGCCGCGCTAATAGCGAATATAGTACGATCTTAGGGAGTATCGGAGGTAGAACTAAATTCGCTAAAGTAGTACTCTACGTAATACTTACTCGTAAAGGATAGAGATTCGGAGGCCTAGTCGATAACTAGGTTATACTTTTTAAGCTAAGGAAGACTAAGAATAATAGGGTAAGTCTTCGGGAGTTTCGTAAGAAAGAATATAATGTTTTCGGTATATAGGCCGATAGTAATAGATAAGTAGTAGATCTAGGTTACTTTACCGGCGGCCGCGGTCGTACTATTAAACATTTCTAACTCCCGAGCGTACGTAAGGTCTTAGAACGTTAAGCCGAGCTCCCTCGTATAGTCGTAATCTATAAACGAGTAGCCGGTTACGCTATTATTAATAAGAGCTATAGTTTTTAATAATTTCTTTTAATTTCCTATTAACGTTTCTACTACGAAAGGCTAGTAAACTAACTCTTTCTCTATAGCTAAGCTAGGGAAAGGGAAGGTAGTAGCAGATACTCTTAGTTTCGGAACGAATAAATCTTGTAAGCGACTATATATAAGGTTTAGGCTTTTCTCTAGCCGCTCGGAGTAGCGCTAGCTAGTAAGGGCGTATCTAGAGTCGTAATATTCGCGGCGGCGACTCGCTATATCGTTAGCGTATTTAGCCGGCCGACGAGAGACGGATAGAGGCGAGTAATATATCCTTTTACTCTATAGTAGATATATTCTCCTACCGTACGGCAACGCTACTTCTTTTCTTCCGAAAGCTTACTATTTACTAGGGATACGCGTAGACGGGCGCTAAGCGAGGCAGCGCTTAAATCTATCGGTTTAGCGGTAGGCTAGGCGCCTAGCGGTATTAGGGCTATAGTAGGAGCTAGTACTAAAGCCGGCGTCTAAGCTGTCTATAACTTCGACGGTAGTATAGCAAACGGCGACGTAAAGCGGCCGGTATTCGTACGAGCGCCTCTACGGTTAGCGATAATTTTCGCGAAGTTCCGAGTCGTATTATCGATACGCGTAAGTAAAGCGTATAGTTCGGTAATGTTTAGATTCTCTATATCCTTATCGCGGACTTATAGTATTATTTCTTCGCTAAGGCCGCGTAGTAAGATCTACTTAGCGACGTCCGGGGGGTATTCGGCGTACCTAATCTCGTATTAGAAGGTAGTATAGTATTCTTAGTAGGTCTTGTTTGCTTGCTTAAGTTTGTCTAAGTTTAGGCGCGTAGTTTACTTATAGTCTAGGTCGCCGAAACTAGCGTCGAGAGCCTTCTAGATAGTAGCCGTCGTAGTAGTTTCTATATTTTCTAAGAGGCTACGGTAGGAATCGAGGGCGGAGCTACCGAGTAGAGAAAACATAAATCCGGGTTTTAAAGCTTTAGTTAGATAGCAGTCGGCGTTAGCGAGAAAGCGGATCTTAACCTATATCTTAAATTCCTCGTATACTTTACGCTTGCCGGTAAAGCGTTCGAGGTCGCTAAGCTTCTTACTCTTATTCGAAGTAGGTATAAATAGGTAAGAGGCGGGTACCGCGGCGCCTAGGCAAGTAGAGGCGAGATACAACTAGAGGCGGCCTACCTCGTCTTCTTTTTCTATAATAGAAGTATTCGCGTCGTTAAGAGCCGTACTAAGGCTTATACGAGAGACCGAGAGGAAACGAGTAGTATCTTTATAAGCCTTAAGCAGGTTAGCGAGTAGTTCTAGGTCGGTAGCGTAGGCGTAATTTAGCTACTCGCGCGTAGCGGGGATCTTATTCTATACTAAGCTTAAAAAATTAGGTACTTTGTTAGGTCTTGTCTTTTAAATCTACTCGTCGGGAGTATCTGTCTTAATGCTAGGGCTAAAGAGGCTATACGTGATTGGTATATAACTAGGCCAAGTAAAGCTAGGGTCTTAGTGCCTTAGGCAGGGCTTGGCGCTTAGTAATAGGCTAACTTGCCTACCTTCCTCCCTCTCCTCCTAGCTCCTTATCGAATACTACTTGTACCTACTACTACCCTATCTACCTGCTAATATACCCTTCTTATATAGTATTCGATCTACCCTTTAAGGGCAGCAGCTAGATAGTCCTTATTTCAAGCTTTTAGCGGTATAGCTACGAATAAGACTAATCTAACTATATTACGTCCGAAGAACGAGACCTATACGTACTATTCTACTAAAACAACCGTACCAATTATTAAGCAAGGCCTTCTATACGGCCTATTATACTAAGTTAAGCATACTAAGCCGATATCTACTAATTCCGCTACATCCGCATCTTAGGGGCTAATAATATATTATTAGTGTCGCCCCTTATAATAGCCGGTTTATTACGAAACAATAACCGTGCTGCCGCTAGCAGCGCTAGTAACGACAACGCTAGTAGCACAGTACCTACTAAAGTGCCTACTAAAGCTCCTACTAAAGTGCCTCCTACTAAAGGGCCTACTACTAAGCCTACTAAAGAACCTGTAATTCTAGGTAACGACCTAGAATTGCCTATCGACGACATTCTTAACAATATTGTTAACCGTCGATATAGCTAACTAGCCTTTAGCCCCTAACTAGTAGGGAGACTCTAAGAAGCTACCTAAAATAGGCTTACTGCCCTACGTTAAGAACAATAGCTAAAGGATAACCTCCTCGAGATTCGCCGCCTATAGGAAGCCCTAACAACTACTACTAGACTAGAACTAGTAGCAGGACCTTCTATTTAAAAGAAGGATGCTAAGCTTAAGGACTATACCGTATTTAATAGCTCTAGCCGCAAGTAGTATAATAATTATATACGCGATTGTAAATTAAACTAGCGAAATACACTAAGGGCCCTACTAGACGACTATTCGCTAGTCGTCTATGCTATGTAATACATTAATAGCGACCTAAAACGCACCTAGGATAACTACTTTGACTCCCTTACTAATTAGACCGCTGTTTAGTAGCAAACCTACAAAACTATTATACTAGACACCCTTAGAAACCCTATACTAAGGCAATAATACGCTTAGGACTAGTACCTTCGGGCTAAGCAAAAGACTAATCAATTAGCTCGTTTATTTAAGGCCTATTTAAAGACCCTTAAGGACGATTTGCTAGCTAAGACCGACTCTATCTAGATTTCCAAAATACGCCCTAAACTGCGATAGGAGTTAGTCCTTAAATTGGACCGCCGTCGTGTATTCGAACAGGCTAACCTAATACGCATTTAATTTATAGTCGAAGTAGAAACAGCCGAGCGGGCTGTTTAGCTCTAGTAACGACTAGAATCGAGAATCCGACTAGCTAGTACTAACCGCGGCAATCGTAGTGCCCGCGGAGGCAATAGCTAAGGGTCCTACTAAAACAATAATACTAATAATAGAAACAGTAATAGCGACCGTAGAAGAGGCCGTAGCCGGCGGCTATATAGAGGAGGCCGCGATAGGGGCCGTAGAAGGGGCTCGTATCCCTATAGTACTAATCGCTCGGCTAATAATAGCGGCAATAGCTATAGCAATCCCCTAACCGGACTAAAGTGCTTCAATTGTAACAGTACTAGCTATCTACTAGGCTAATGCGACAAACCTAAGGACTAGGCCCGAATCGACCGTACTACCGCTAAGTACCGAAAGCACCTTTTAGTAGCTAACGCTACCCCTATAGGCTAACCTTCGAAAAAAGAATAAGCGCCGTACTAACTGTTAGCCTTGTACGGCGTAAGACTATCGACATTGTACTAGCTATAATACGCTCCTACCTTATATAGGATACGAAGGGCACTACCTATTAAACTAAGGTTATACTAGATCTAGGAAATTCAGTTAGTGCCCTTATTAGCTATCGCCTAGCTAAGCAATTAGACCTTCGACAACTACCTAGGACTAACCTGCTAACCCTTGCTTAGTTTAATAACGCTCGGCACTTAACCTATAGGGCCTACTATATTCCTATAGCTCTAAAGGACGACCTCGGAAATGAACGCCTACTAGACTTTACTGCCTACGTAGTAGATATAGACAACCTATATAGGGGAGCTACTATTGTTATTAGCAACCCTGTTCTTAAGCACTATACTACAGTTATAGACTTAGGCAGTTAATAATAGCGATTTAGAATCGCTAGGAAAGAAGACATTAAATATATCGATATTAGCGAGTGTCCTAATAATATTAGGGTCCTATTTATTAGTAACCTAACACTAGCCTCCGCCTTAGCTAATCTAACTACCGACCTGCTCGGTAGTAATAACGATAAACTTGTGCCCCCTAATAGTATAGACTCTAAATAGCTTAAGCGTATACCGGAGCCTATTCGAGAGACCTATATTAATGTATTCAAACACTACCTAGCATCGACGTTGCCTATGTTTAAAGAGACGGATTATAAGATTAACATTATAGAGGGCAAGGAGGTTCCTTTTAGACTACTCTACAACCTTAGTAAGCGCGAGCTTACTATATTACGTAAGTACCTAGAAGAAAACCTAGCTAATAGTCGTATTCGGTATAGCAACAGCCCTGCTAGTATACCTATCCTGTTCGTACTAAAGAAGGATAGTAGCCTACGCCTGTATATTAATTATCGTAGGCTTAACGCTATTGCTGTTAGGGACCGCTGTCTGCTCCCGCTTGTTAATAAGACCCTCGACCGCCTTTCTAGTACCTACTACTATACTATATTAGACATTAAGGACGCCTATTACCGCATTCGTATTCGTAAGGGCGATAAATAGAAGATAGCCTTTCGTACTCGCTATAGCTATTTCGAGTACTTAGTTATACTATTCAGGCTAGCTAATGCCTCTGCTATATTCTAGTCCTATATTAATCGGGCCCTATTAGGCCTATTAGATTACCTCTATATAGTTTACCTAGATAACATCCTAGTTTATATATATTTACCTAATATTGTAGAATACTAGGCCGTAGTACGCAAGGTCCTCGACCGCCTACGAGCCTATAGCCTACACCGCAAACCTTCTAAATGTACCTTTGCTACTAAAGAGGTATCCTTCCTTAGCTTCCTCGTATTAACCGAGGGTATTAAGGCTAATCCTAATCGGATTAAAACAATTACTAAATAGCCTGTTCCTACGTCTATTAAGGAGCTCTAATCGTTCCTCGGCTTCGCTAATTTCTACCGCCGTTTTATTAAGGGCTATTCGAGATATGTAATGCTATTAACTAAGCTTACTAAGACTAAGGCAAACCCTTCTAGAGAGTTTAGGTAGACTAATAAAACACAAGCCGCTTTTAACGGTCTAAAGAAGCGATTTACTAAAGTCCCCTTATTATACTATTTCGTACTAAGCAAATAGATCCGAATTAAGACTAACGCTTTATAGTTCGCTATATTAGCTATTATATTACAGCAGGCTAATAACACCTACTAGTACCCGATTGCCTTCTTCTCGAGGAAGATAATTAATACTAAACGTCGCTACGAGACCTACGAGTAAGAGCTCCTAGCTATTGTCGAGGCCTTTAAGTATTAGAGGCACTACCTCGATAGGGCTTAATATACAATACAGGTCTATACAGACTATAACAACCTCCGTAGCATTACTAAGGTTACTAGGGTTATAGGTCGACAGGCTAGATAGGCCGTCTACCTCGCCGGGTTTGATTTTAATATATTATATCGGCTAGGCGTAAGTAACCCTACCGATAGCCTATCGAGGCGACCTAATTACGATAGCGAGACCTAACATATTAATTCTTTGTTTCTAACCCTATAGTATAAGATTGCTATAGCCCGTATTGTTAATAAGTACGCGTAGGAGAAGCGGCTTACCGGACTCCGCGACGGCTTAAAGCATATTAATGCTCTTACTATATTAATAGTGCGTGTTAAGGCAAGGGCTAAGGACACAGACAGGAGAAGTTATAATAACTCCCTAGTCGATATCGCAATATACAGTAATAGCGACAGTACTACTGCAGTTAATCCGGCTACTAGTGCTATTAGATATATATAATACGTACCTCGTTTAATAGCGAGGGTGCTATTAAATAACCTTGTAAATAGGGATAGTTAATCGTTTATAGATAAGCTATTACGTACTTAGTAGAGGGACGCCTTTGCTACTAAACGTATCGACAAGCTTGTAAGTAGGCGAACGACTCGATCTAGTAAGAGTAACTAGTCGGTCGATAATAAAGGTTATTTAAAGTTTAAGGGTAGATACTATATCCCCGCTAAACATTCGATCCGATAAGAACTTCTTAAGCGACACTATAATAGTAAGCTTGCCGGTTACTATAGCATAGAGAGGTCGCACGAGCTACTATCGCGTATATACTACTAGCTAAATAGTAAGTGGGACATAAAGGAATACGTTAATACGTATGCCGTATACTAACGTATTAAGGCACTAAAGCATTAGCCTTTTAGCGAGTTATCCTTATTGCCAATCCCCTACAAGCCATTTATAGAGCTTATAATAGATTTTATTATAGGTCTTCCCCCTACTAAGCGAAGAGGAAGCAAAGACATCTTTAACGCTATCCTAGTTGTTATAGACCGGTTTACTAAGGGCGCTCGATACATCCCGGCGCGGAAAGATTAGACTGCTATTAATATAGTAGAAGCGCTATAGAACAATATCTTCTATACCTATTAGGGGACCCCTAAAGGGATAGTCTCTAACCGAGGCTCGACATTTACATCTTATTATTAGAGTGAGATATGCCTATAACTGAGACTTAAGCATCGCCTGTCTATAGCATTCTATCTACAAATAGATAGCCAAACCGAGAGGCAAAATGCTACCCTATAGCAGTACCTACATAGCTATATTAATAAAAACCCTAACGACTAGGTTAACCTCCTATAACTAGCTAAATTCGTATATAATAACAGTGTCTACTTATTAACTAAGGTGTCGCCGTATATAGCTATAATAGGCCAAAACGCTACTTTACTATAAGATCTATTTACCTCGCTCGAGGCCGAGTATAAGGAAAGGGAAGCGCGTTAAGCCCCTAAAACACTAGCGGCTATAGAGAGGGTTCAAAAGATGCGAGAAATTCACGCTATAATAGCTAACAAACTAGCAAAGGCCTAGGCCTATTAGAAGGCCTACTATAACAAACACTATACGCTAATAACCTTTAAATAAGGCGACATAGTTATACTTAGTACGAAGAACCTCCGTATCCGCAAACATCTATTACCTAATAGTAAAACAAGGCCTAAGCTCGCACTAAGATACATTAGTCTATTCCGCATTCGAGAAGTTAAGGGCTCCTCCGTATAGGCCTATTAGTTGTAGCTTCCTCCTTATTACACTATCTATAATACCTTCTATATATCCCTCCTTAAGCTATATTACCTACGCGAGGGGGATGAAGCCCCTACTAAACACGAAGACATACTAGCGGATAGTAAAGAGCTATAGTCTATAGAACGTATTCTAAAGCACCGGACTAAGCAAGGCAAGAAGGAGTACCTATTAAGATAGCAAGGCTATTTACCTAAATAGGACTTATAGGAGGCTAAAGACTCGTTTAAGGATATAACTAAGTTATTAGATAAGTATTAGACTAGCGTAAAGAACACGAAGAAGGCTAAGAGCTTATAATGCCTATAATGTCGCCTAGGAATAATGCTACCCCCGGGGTACTATTAGCTAACTAATTAGAAGCGGGCAATTGTTAGCAACGAAGGACAATAAGACTATACTACTATAGTGGACGCGCACTAAGTGTTAACGAGCGCGCTATAACTGTCGACTAATCCCCTACCCTTTTAAGGAATCTACCTCTTTACTAGCGCACCCTATAAGACCCTCCTTTTAACGCCCCCTCTTATTCCTTCCTTCTATCAAGGCCTCGAGGCCTAGGCGATCGGCGAGGGCGGCGCGTACGCGCGTGGAATAGTAATAATAATAATAACGACAGCGTCTCGCTTATACTAAAGGGCGGCACGGCCGGCGCGGCTATATTAGTAACGGTATTGCGGAGTGTGTTATTAGTAGAAGAAGGAGATTAGAAGCGAGGTAAAGTTAGCGCTAAGACGACTAGCGTCGCTATTATTAATATTACTTGCTACTATTACTATACCTATAGATACAACCTTACCTGCCTTTAATTAAAACTTTAATTAAAACTTTAAGCCGCTTAAAAGATTAAGCGACTAATAGACTAGCTAACTAAGGGTAAAACTATAGAGCTAAGCTAGCCGGGGTCGATCTTGCGGATAATAGGTTACTCCTCGATCTATCTA